ATTTTAATATTAGGGGGGATTTAATATTAGTGGGAAGGAATTATGGCGGATGGGAAGCAGCTTGAACATTCTTGCTGCCGGTCGTTGAATTGAGGCCTGCAGCTTCTGCAGTGCCTGCCTCGTTCGACGTGTACATTCTCGAGCGTTTGTTGTTTGTGCCGGGAGACGGTTCAGATTTCGGAGGTTATTGGTGGCCCACGCCCCAACTGCCGATGCCAGGACTCCCAGACACAGAGGAACCCTTTGCCGCAGTTTTGGCCAGACGGCCCTGTTGCCGAGGCGCTTGTGAAAGCATGTGAAGTGGCCGTGCGCTGCCCAGAAGTCCTTGGAGTCCATGCCCCGTGCATTGCGCTGTTTTTTTGTAAGGCCCCGTTGCTCAGACTTTGGGTGCCTGCCTCGGACCTTGTTCCTGGACCTGGCTTTGATATGGGACTTCCGAAAATTAGGGTACCTTATGTTGGGGTCCTTGTAATAAGGATCCTACTGTTTAGGGTACTATATTGGGGTCTCCAATTTTCGGAAACCCCTATATCGCACAACATTAGACTGATCTGGCATGTGAGACCCAGTGAGGGCCAGAGCTAAGATTTTTGTAGGAGGTTCTAGGTTCAGGCCTGCCCTTGAGATGAATCGAGGTCACCACTGCGAGCAACGACGCGGGGAAAAGTGTCGCATGATTGAACTGAGTCACCCTGATACGATTTTATGTCATCCAGACTGACATGCTGAACGTCCACAGGCATTTGCCTATCCGATCACCACCTTCCTGGGGCTGATTGGGGCCACTTGGGCCTGTTTAAAGCGGTTTTTCGAGGACCTTTGGGTCTCTTTCCCAGCTCAGGCCTGGCATGCTTCTCACCCCAGGGACTTCCTGGAGCAGGTGGGGCCACCCCCAAAAAAGGGAGGGTCCCTACTTCAGGGAAGCCAGGGTCTTTGAGGCCAGTGCCGTGGGGCCGCAGCGTGTGGCGCTGCTGCTTGCCGTCTCCTGCAAGCAGGCGGGAAGTGCCCTTTGGGCATACCTGTTTCCTGGGATTTCCTTGGTGGCTCCAGGCTTTTTGCCCATGGTTGAGCCCGGGATTTGCTGCGGCCATGATCGGCCGTCTACGGCCATGATGCTGTGACAGTCATTCTCCAGCCGTCACTCGCTTTGCCGTTCAAGCTTTTCCAAGCAGTTTCGCCATCCACTTGCACTGGGCTTTTTCGGGGCAGAAGTGGACAGTTGGGCTGCATCCCGCATCATGTTCGCATGCTCCATCTTCGAGTGTTCCCGATGAGTATACTCTCTGTGTGTGTACCTCTCAGACTCTGGGCTTGTGTGCAAGGGCATGCACAAGCCATCGAAAGCCACGAGTTGCGGTGGGTTCAAGTGCCATCGCTGAACAGCAGAGGCCCCTACTATACCCCAGGCCAGACCTGGCTCCCGTTCGTGCCAGAGTCCTGAGAGTACTTCCTGCAACTGCAAAGAAAAGAACACCTAGCGACTCGACTGCTTGGAAAGCACATCCCGTGCAGCTGATTTTCCGTTTCCATTCACATGCCATCAAGCCGCCTATCTCGTGCCTGTGCTCTGTGACGCGACAGCGTGCGAGTTTGTGACATTGTGTTGCTGTGCCACTGGCCAGGCAGCTGCGGTCGCCCTTCGATGTGCCCCTTGCCTTCAAAAACCTGGGTAGTCAAGTCACTGACTTTCTTCCAAGCCGAGTCCATCATCAGTGCTGCCCTGGCGCTGGCTGAAAGTGGTGTGGATCCGACGCCTGAGCCTCAACTCGAACCTGGATTTTTTTCGACAGAGCTTGTGCTTTTCTGAGGTTCTGGAGGGAGATAATGAATGCCTGTACAGCCCTCAGACCGGCAGAAGTGATCGAAGAGCCACTCATGGCATGTTGGAGCAGGCAATGACTTGATCATGGCAGCACAGAGGGGCATCTCCAGCGCACTCGCTCAAGCCTGAGACCTTGGGGCCATGAGCTTCGTGTAAACACAACGCATGTGGGTAATTCTCTAAAGTAGGCTCCCTTTTAGGGTCCTTGTAAGAAGGGTGCCGTACTATATTGGGGACCTACACAGGGCCCACGTGGAAGCACGAAGGCTAAGACGCTGCAGTCCCTCAAGTCGAAGCTCTCTGCAAAGCTTCCGGCACCAGCCGGGCTCTCAATAGGAAGCACCTTGCATGACAAGGCAATGTGCAGCTTGACGAGTTTACTTCGATCACGTACCCATCTTGCATTTCTTTGCAGCTTAGCCCTATGAAGCTTCAGGTATGCCAAACGCACAGGACCCTTTTTCTCCTAAGCCCTAAACTCCAAAACACCGCGTGATGTGTCTACATAACCTTCTCGCACAGAGAATCTGATTGCAACGCTTAGGAGAAAGGCCTTCAACAAATCCGCGACCTCAGAAACTATATTCCCAGCTCCAAACCCTGAAAACCTACCGCCCTACTGTCCCTGAAGTCTCTAACCATGGCCTTCAATTAAGCCTTTAAAGTCCAGCCTGGCGATGAAGAGCGGGAGCGATGGCCGCTCTTTCGGGGAGGCGCATGGAGATTAAAGTGGCCTTGCTGAGCGGCAAGGTGGCAACGCTGCATCTCTCAGAGGAGACACCTCTCCTTGAGTTGAGGCGCTTAGCACAGGATCAGCTTCAGGTGACGATCAAAGACCTGATCACAGCTGAGGGCCAGTTGCTGAATAGGTTTCAGGCGCTGCAGGAGGCAGGCCTGAAGGATGGGGACACCCTCTCCGCCATGGTTCGCAGGGCCACAGTCATCTCGAAGATGGGGGCCGCTGCTTTTGCTCTGCTGAAGGGTGATGGGGGTGTTGTGACCTGGGGAGATCCTTCCTCCGGTGGCCGCAGCACGGCAGTACAGGAGCAGTTGCAAGACATCCAAGATGTTGTTGCCTCCGATGGGGCTTTCGCCGCCATCCGGGCAGATGGCTCGGTAGTAACGTGGGGAGATCCAGACTTCGGCGGTGACAGTCGGTATGTCCAGGAGCAGCTGACCAAGGTGACCAAAGTTGTGGCCTCCGCATATGCATTTGCCGCCATTCGCTCCAATGGTAGTGTGGTGACTTGGGGGGTTAGCTACCCAGGAGGGGACAGTCGTGCTGTTCAGGCACAGCTGAGAGATGTGAGGCACATTGTGGCATCCAGCTATTCCTTTGCTGCGATCCGTTCTGATGGCACAGTGGTGGCCTGGGGATCCAAAGCAACCGACATCAAGTTCGAAGACAGACGAGCTCAGCTGCAAGACGTGGTAGAGATCGTAGCATCACAGAACGCATTTGCTGCCCTCCGGTTCGATGGTAGGGTGATTATTTGGGGAGATTTTCGCTCTGGCGCCCGTGACGACATGCAGAATGTGCTCGTTAGTGTCACCCAGATAGCTGCCTCTCAGAGAGCCTTTGCTGCGACGTGTGCAGACGGTAGTGTCATCACGTGGGGCGTCGCTGAGTGTGGTGGAGACAGCAGCAGTGTTCATGAACAACTGAAGGATGTGAAGAAGGTTGTGGCTTCGCAGTACGCCTTTGCTGCCATCCTGGGGGATGGAAGCGTCGTGACCTGGGGTCAACCGGGCTCCGGCGGAGACAGCAGCTCCGTGCAGCCTTTGCTGCAAGTGCTACATATCATGGCCGCTAAGAAGGCTTTTGCCGCCCTTCGCTCTGACGGTTCGGTCGTCTGCTGGGGACACTGGGAGTCAGGAGGAGTCCGGGACGATGAACTGACGGATGTGGTGGAACTTGCAGCTTCAAGCAATGCATTTGCTGCCCTTCGCAGCGACGGCAGCGTGGTTACCTGGGGCTCTGCCAGCTTCGGAGGAGACAGCAGTGCCGTCCAGAATCAACTGACGGCTGAGGCTGTCACGCAGAAGCATCGTAGGGCTTACACTTTCAAGCGGAAGTTCTCCGACATGTGACCCCGTCGAAAAAGCCAAGCACAGTCGCAAAGCTGTGGAGCAGCGAGCGGTTTTGTGTCATTTGTGCGTTGCTGCTCAGGCGCGCAGCGCTGCGGAGCTACAGATCTGCCTCCTGTTTCCGGCCCAGAGTCTCTCAAAAAAAGATGCCCTGTGGGAAACCCTTTGCAGTTTGTTCGAGGCCCGCAGATCTCAGGCGGAGCAACCTCAAAGAGGCCAGACTGCTGCAGACAAGAAACACTGGCTTCAGGGCTTGGACTTCGGGGAGCAGTAGGTAAGCTCTCATCACGTGCTGCCCACCCAGGATGTTTGTAAACCCTGACTAGTGCCGAAGATGCTTTCGGGAGAGCCGCAGCATCAGATGAGGGTTTTGCACTCCCGCAGTGAGAAGAGCTTCTTCCCCAAAAAAACCTGGACCCCACATCCCTGAAGCGCTTAACTCTACGCCCCAAAATCCTCAGTCCCTTGACCCCAAAAGCGTAAGCCTCTAACCGTAACTAAATTCTAAACCCCCCACTCCCAAACCCCGACGATCCCAAAGCAAAGATCTTGCTAGTTGTCAACAGAACCCGTCAAAACAAAGAAGATCCCAAGCCATAAGCAAGATGGACACTACCAGGGGCTCTTGTGGGAGTCCCACTCCAGGATGGCTCCCTGGAAGACACAGCGGTGGCTCGTGGCCTCCTGAGCCCAGGGTTTAGGGTTTAGGGTTTAGGGGGCTGGATGTCGGCACGTCGAGAGTTTCTCGATCGGTCCTGGAGGATGGGCCTTACGAGGAAAGAGTGTTACCAAGGAGTTCTGAAAGGGCTTCATATTTTGGGCCCCCCTATACCGTACCGAATGATCCTACTATGTCAGCTCTACGTTGAACCGGGAGCCTCCAAAAATATATCAAGCATAACAGGGGCAGACCCCCACAGGCCTAAACTCGTAACCACCAAGCCGATAAAGCTTTAAATTACGAGACGCCCAAGAGTGGCGATCTCGGAGCATTTGTGACTATGTAGTTACCAATGTAGTTGAACATTTTGAATCCTACACCCCTAAGACACAGCCACAAACCGTTTGCGCAGAGTCTCAATCTAGGCTGGCTCTTCGGGCGGCTTGCTGCCGCGACCCTGGTTGAAGTTGCGATTTATGCCAGTAGGCACTTTGACTCAGACTTTCAGTTTATAAGGTGAGAAAGTATAGCCACTTTGCATAATTGTAAGGAGACGAGCCGTTTTAGGTATATTTACCTTCCGTACAGCGATGTTCATGCGTCAACTTCAAGGGGCAAGTGTTTCAAGGTTTCCGCCTTGCCCCGCCCTTGCGACGCTTTAATGTAGGGGCCTTAATAATTACCTATACTGTTTTGGGGGTTCATTATTGTACTTATAGTATAATATACCCCAAAACCCCACTCTAATTATTAAGGCCCCTACATTATGATAATCCACGGCAACTTGCCGAAGCTTTTGGGACTTGCCTTCCTCAGGCGAATTTCACAGCATAGGATGCTTTGTGTCCCATGATGGTTTAGTGTGGCGCCTCTTGGGGCTCAGGGTTTGGGGCCGTGGAAACCCCAAACCCCAAACCCCAAAGCCCTAAAGCCCTAAAGCCCTAAAGCCCACAAGCCCTAAACTTTAAACCCTAAGCCCAGGCCTTGCTAAAGCAGCTGGGTGCCACACATGGCGAGCAGGTCAAGGCTGGCGTGAGCTTGAGCTTTAGGGTTAAGGGTAGAACATGTATGAAAACATCACTAATACAGTAGGACAATATAGGGAACATCGAAGATACCGGTTGAACTTCGCATGAAACATTATGCACAAAACCTACCAGGTAAGCAATGAGATAAACTTGGTGTTCTTGCTATACTTATTAATAGATAGAACATAATATGTTTGCATGCGCTGTGCTATAATATGGCATTACATAGTCTGACGGACTGTCGTTTGAACGCAACAATTGAACACATAGAAGTGTGTGTGTATGTATTTGTATGTATATATAGACAATGGACATATATATATATACATATATATATATGTATATACACATGTCGCACATGTATGTATGTATGTATGTATGTATGTATGTATGTATGTATGTATGTATGTATAAGTGTCTCGGCCCGGACGAGTGCTACGGTGCTCCTAGCTCATGCTCGCTGTGCAGCAATGGTTCGTTCGCTGGCTTCCTCTGACTCTTCTGATTCGGACGCTGCCTCACTCAGTTCCCTTTCGGGGGACTCTAGCGTGGGATCAGCGGGTGCAGTTGCCAGGAGGGCAAGGGCGGATCAACTCAACGCTGAGCGGCACCGTGAAAACGCCAAGCAATGGTTCAAGCGACGCTTGGTGACCATCCTCTGCGACATGGCCCTGGTTGATCAATTGCAGGAGGATGGAAGAAGCTACAGACAGGTGTCTGGCAGAATCAGCTGGTTCACCCGGCAATGCCAAGGACAGACGCTGGACGGCCTTCTGCAATTGGCGAGGCCTCGACTGGTGCCCGCACGGGTGGAGGGCCTTCTGCAGGACGCGCAGTTGCTCCAGAGGTTTTGCGACGAGACCATCCCGCCGAATGACCACACCTGGATTTATTCGGATCAAGTGGGCAATTCGGACAGCCCTGCCCGGCACCGTGTGGAGCAGCGGACCCAACTGCTCCTCCAGCAATCCTTGGCTCCAAGGCTTCGCACCAAAGAGACCACGACGTTCATTCAGCGCGCGATCACGACTGCCGGTGGCAACTTCTACAGAGACTTCATCTTTCTGGTGTGGCCGTTGTTCACTGACCAGGATAGGCTGGAGTTCCAAACCTGGTACTACAACCATGATGGTAAGGGTGTTCTACCGGATGTGCCAGAACATGTCCCCTCGGCGTCCAGCGGCATTCGCCGCGAGAACTGAGGCAGGTCGTGCCTGCCCTCTTCAGGGTCCGCAGCACATGAGCTTCGGATTACAAGTTGTGGGCCGCCCCGGTCCCAATTCCGGGGTCAGTGTGGGTAAGACGATTGTTCTGTACTTAACACTCTCTAGCGCTGCGTGGGAGCTGTTTCTTTTGACCGAAGTTTTACGTGAAACCCACATTGAAGACACGAGGGTTGGGAGTAACGTTGGTCGTAGTCTCCCTCCAGCCCATATACCTTGCCTCATGCATTGCATCATGAGGGCGAAGCTGTACGACCCTTTTGTTTTACGGACCTCTTGCCAAGCAACTAGTCCCATCATCACTCGCACTCGCCAAGTGATTGCATACCATTTAGCCACAACCTACACAGCTAAACAATACTGCCGAAACCTTGATATCAGGTGTCCCCAGTTGGACACCCGATATGTCAACACACCTGTTCAGTGGTCGCCAGCGAGGCTTCCCCCTGAACGTTCGGCCCCTGTGCCTGACACAGCGACACAGGCGCTTGGATGTCTTGCATGCATTTTGCTGCTACTGCGGTTAATGGACAGTGTCTTCCAGAAAGCAGGTCGAGTAAGTTGGTTCCCTAGGCGTTGCACTCATGGCATGTACCGCAGGCGCTGCAGTGCCACGTGGCTTGCTGTACGTGCCGAGGTAGTGAGAGCGGCCCAGCGGCATGTCCGGCACGCTCCTCCGGTGCAGCCAGTGCAGTCCGGACCGCGTAGCCCTGAGTTTAGGACCCTAAGGCAGCCCCAGGCACGCCGTCACATAGGACTCGCCCCGACTAGATTGCTTTTCGTAGGTCTCCTGTTTTGCCTTCCTATCCTGGCAAGTGCAGCCCCCGACCCATCTGCATCCCCATAGCACCTCAGGTCTGTCACGACTGTCTGCACATGGACAGCAAGCCATACGCCTTACCGCAGCCAGGAAGAGAGCCTTTAGGAGAGCCCAGATAAGAGTACTCCGAGATGGATCCACCATGTACCGCGGGACAAGCATGACGCCACTAGTTTGGCTTTGCAATATGTAGGACATAGTCCTCCTCACAAGCCCCCCCGAAGTGCACTGCAGCATGACCATCTCCAGGCTGTCACCTGGAACTGTGGGGGTTTGCATGCACAACGATATGCGGAGTTTATGCAATGGATCAACTCAGAGTACTTTAAATCGGTTCACCTAGTCTTCCTCCAGGAGTGTCATTGGCCGCAAAGCACTGAATACTGCAGTGAGAGATGGATACACATTTATTCTGGAACGGAATCTAACCAGGGAGGTGTTATGATTATGATCAACAAGTCCATTGCCACAGTGGAGCAGATACGTTATGCAGAGCTGGTTGCAGGACGTGTCTTGCATGTACGCATTGGATCCGAACCCCCAGTAGACACACTCTGCGTATATCAATACGCGTGGTCCAATCAGCACCGCCCTGGCTCTGGCAATCTGCCCTCCACCCCCAACCCTAAGGACGAGCTGTTAACCAAACGTAACCAAATTTGGACGACGGTGCGTGCATGGGCCAATTCGGTACCCCAGCGCAACTCCATGTTGATTGCCGGGGACTTCACGCTGGCCTCCATCCACACCTGCCCAACATCGGCCTAGGAGTTCAGGGTCATAAAGCACAGGGTCATCCAGACCAAAGGGAGTTTCAAAACTTAGTTCAATCAGCCGGCCTCATAGCCTTAAACACTTGGGGCCGCGGTGGGCAGCGTGCTGCTACGTTTCTGATGCCCAAGGGGCATGGTGTGCAGATAGACTTCCTGCTCACCAGGCTTCCGTGTTCCAATGTAAGCAGAAAGGCGACAGCTTGGCAGCATCCTACAGGATTCAGACATGTACCCATAGGATGTTCACTACCCTTCCCATGTAAGCCGAGAAGCAAGCAAGTGCCCCTCCTCAGTGCACATAAGGTTAAAGAAGCCTTGCAGCAGCACCCACACCTAACCGCCCAATATCAGCAAGCTGCGGCCCAGAGCCTTCAGCAACGGCAGGGTCGCACGATTGACGCATGCCTCGCTGAAGCCTGGCGTCAGTGCACCAAGTGCCTCGGCCGTGGCCGCCCCCTGCCACCAGCTCAGCAAGAGCTTTCGCTCCGGGCCTTCTGGTCCGCCAAGCGACACCTCCGCTATTGCCAGACCCTTGTTAGGCACTATAACGCGCCAGTAATCTGGTATGTTTCCCACTCTATGCCTACCCGGGTACGCACGCTGTTACCTGGCTCGGTGCGGAGACTGCGGCCCCTGATCCAGCTTTGGCGTGCAGCCATCTCCTTTCAGAAGCAGGATAGAATGCTTAGACAAAAAGTCAAGGAGAGGAAAATAGCCAAGGTTGACCATCTGATCTCAGTAGCACAGGAAGCCGATAAGCGCGGACTGAGCACTCTGCACCAGCTGCTCAAACACCTGAAGCCCAAAGCGCCCAAACGATCCATACATTTCCGTAGAGCAGATGGCCAGCTCATGGGTACAGGAGAGGAGATGGATAAGCTCCGAACTTTCTTTTCTGAGCTGTACCAGGCGGATGCTCACACCCCGACACCGCATTTTCTGCAGGAAGCGCTACAAGTGGAATCGTGGGAGATCACGGCTGCCCTTCATAGTATGCCTGCACATAAAGCCCTTCCACCAGGGCAGGTTCCGGCGCGACTGTGGAAACTGGCGGCACGGAGTGTAGAAGCTGAGCTTTTGCAAGATTTCAATGCGGCCCTTCAGCCGGGGGAACTTTGTTTCCCGCACCATTGGCATGATTCCTACCTCGCCCTATTGGCAAAGCCTCACAAGGCACCCAACTGCCCCTCCAACCTACGCCCAATCAATTTGTTGGTAGCAGAGGCTAAGTTGCTAGCGCGCATAGCCGCTCAGAGGTTACAGCCATTGGTGCAGCAGGCAATGCACCGGTACCCTCAATTCGCGTATGCGCAGGGAAGGCAGACGTCTGATGCCCTGGATCGAGTGTTGTCACACTGCTGTAAAATTCGCAACTTGTTGCAGGGTAAACACCGTTCCGCTTTTCGGCCCAGATCCAGCAAATCCGTGTCTGGCTTGATTGGAGGACTACAAGTCTCCATTGATCTCACCAAAGCCTATGATCGGCTACCTCGGAGTGTCCTGCAAAGAGCTCTAGAAAACATCCAGACTTCTGACTCACTTATTGAGCTCATCTTATACATACACGACAATGCTAGGGTATGTATCTGCCGGCATGGCCAATCGGCAGAGATTGGAATGGGACGCGGGGTTAGGCAAGGATGTGGCTTGTCTCCTTTGCTCTGGATTGCATTCACCCTCTTGCTGCATGATAGGATGAGTGAGCACATTCCGCTACAGTCTCAAACAAGCTATGCGGACGATTTTCACTTGATGTGGGAATTTTCCACAGCCCAGGAGTTCAAGCGAGCCTGCACGGCTCTGCCCAAACTGCTCGCCTGCCTGCAATCCTTTGGCATGGAAGTGTCCCTTGAGAAAACTGTCGCCCTGCTTGCCATCAAGGGCCCTGCTGCAGCAGCCCTGCTCAAACAGTACACCAAACGTGTCAAAGGAGCGCGGGTTCTGCGTCTTTTTCAAGGTGGGGAGGAGCTCACGCTGCCCCTACGCAGAGAGCATGACTACTTAGGAGTCAAGATAAGCTACCACCACTATGAAAGAGCTACGGTCAAGCATCGTACTTCATTAGCATGGGTTGCTTTCAACAGGTTGCACAGCCTACTCAAGCATCAGCTGATACCTCTGCGCAAGCGAGTGTTGCTATGGCAAGCATGCGTATGGGCAGTCATGAGGTATGGCCTCACTGCCACTGGCCTAGATCCGTACAGCGTACAGCAACTACGTTCTTGTGTAATGAAGCAACTTAGGCTAGTGGCCCGCAGCCCAGCACATGTTAGTCATGAGACCAACGAGCAATTGTTAAGCAGACTAGGGGTGCTAGATCCTGTACGTTGGCTGGGTCGACAATGTCAACATAGAGTTGCTGTTAGCCGACACAACCTGGGCTACTTGCAACCAGCCAGGGTGCATCAGTGGTGGAGTGTTGTGGAAGCCAGTTTCAGTTCAGACTCTGCCGCTTCGGTTTCCAGCCACCTGACCGAGGTTACCCAGATACTGCGAATAGGCAGCACATGCGACATTTGTGGACAGTCCTTCCCAAGCCACCACGCGTTGAAGGTTCATAAAGGCAAACAACACCCAGAGTCCCAGCCTAAACATGAACCCAACCCGACCATTAAGAATCGGAGGGTGGATGAATACCGCAAGCATGCCAAAGGTGGCTTGCCGCAGTGCCGATACTGCCTTAAGCGTTTCTATGGGTGGCCACAGTTCATGGGGCATTTCAGTCAGGGGGCATGTCCTATTTTGCATAGGACCAGACGAGAGGATCCCCCGGACTCACGTTCAGACCTTAAGCCAACCCCACCTGAAACTCCAAATACCCCAACTGTTTCAGAAACTGTCGGTGAGTCCGGGCCAGCTCCTGCTCATGGGGCGTCCGCGCCGGGGAGCACGGATCCCAACGATCATCACCTGGCCCTCGCGCACCCAGACCCGACGCCGCTGTTTTATCGAGAGACTCTCCAAGACCTTGCCAGAAAATCTGATATCACAGCGTTGCGGAGCCAGATTCGTATGAGCAACTTGCTTTGCCATTGTCCTGAATGCTTCCAGAAAGTCACTCGACCATCGTACCTGACCAGACATGCGTGCCAGATGCATCCGCACATTGCTGCAGTCCAAGACCGGGTTGTCAGTTGGGCTCTTGCAAAGGGTAGGCTAAGCAAGCCTTGCGAGTGGTGCGGCGACAGCCAGTACACCAGGACGGTGGCACACCTTAAAGCTTGCCCGGTTTTGTGGATAGTAGGTCACTTCTTGATCCGACACTCCACCCTGGAGGACCACACCCAAGCTTCGCTCCATGGCGCATTCGGCAGATCAAGGGGACGATCAGTTGATCCAGGCGCAAGCGGAGTTTGCTCAGTTCGGAGGGACAACAAGGGAGCGGACAAGCCACCGGAGCCGGCCAGCGGCAAGGGCGGCCAAGTCTTGAAGGACCACGTGGAGTCCTCCTCCAAGACACCGGGCTCGACCTCAGGCCAGCCGGAAGCCTCTCGGGACAAGGACCACAGGGCGGACCGCGACCGGAAGCAGGACCAGGACCACAGCACCCGACGTCCCCAGCAGCAGAACCGAGGCTGGAACCAGCAGCACGGCTACAGATCGTGGCCCACTCGCTGCGGGGACAAAGAGGATCTCAAAGAGGTGATCCGGGCTATGGGCAGACTGTCCTTGAGGCTGCAGGACCAGCTGAGCATCTTCAGCCTAGACGTGGAGTTCATTCTGTTTCTCCAGACGGACGCGTCCGGCAACAAGTTCTCCATCACGGCCAGCCTCTACGCGGCAGCTCAGCAGTGGCATCGACAAAAAGAATCCGACCCCGCAAGCCTCACCCAGCCGATGCGCAACATCCTTCTATATTGTCTTTTCTCGGCGCTCTTGGAGCGTCTCGAAAAGCTCGAGACGGATCCGGACATGATGGCCCGAGTGCGACAGATGGGATTGGTGGAAGGGGAGGCATATCTGTTTCTCCAATGGGATGCGGCTCAGGGCAAGCACATCAAAGCCCAGGTGGAGCCCTTGAGCCATCGGGAGGCAGTGGAGTCAGTGCGGGTGCTCCTTCGCTTGGCTACGTTCCCACATGTGGTGGGGCGCTTCCACGCGCTCCGGAAGCTTACTGCAGCCCCCTCGGGGGACGTGATCCCCTTTACGTTGATGGCTCAGAACAGGACAGCGGAGTCCCATCAGCTTTACAGCCTGATGCATCGGCTTGCCAGAAACTCGGTCTGGCACCTCATCGGCGCCACGATGAGGCCCACGAAGATCGGGCGGTCGCCATTGGCGAAACAGCTGGACAAAATGATCCAGAACCTCTAGATCAGGCTCGGTTGATAGTTACCCAACTTAGACTAGTCAACTCGTCAAACCACTGTTACGCAAACTCAGTGATCATGGCAGTTGCGTGGGGACATGCAGGTAGTCCGCAGAGCTTCCAACCGAGCCTCCAGCTGGGGCGCATGCTACGTTGGCTCGTCCGCCATGTTCCGTTGCAGCAAGCAGATCATGCACGCAGTGCTGTGGACTTATGGTCATTGCGAGTGTGGCAGCAAATAGTGCAAACGTGGCAGGCACCACACCAGCCAACACGATGCTGGCGAGTTCGTGCAGTTTTTAGCATCTCATCTGCATGCTGACCAAGCCCATTACGAGTGGCAAGCCCGTGAAGAAGCCCCCACAGGTCAGATTCTAGTCCAGGATAGAGGTTCCTTTTGGCCACTAATCCTCTCCCTGCCCCTACAGCCGGACAGTCCAAGCCAAAGCTCGCAGCCTCACCATGTAGCAGGCATCAGCGTTCAGAAACTTGTCATTCAATGGCGCAATCAGCCTGCAAGGCATGCGGCCTGCGATCTGCCGCCATGGCTGCCCTTGCAGGTGAGCCGTTTTAATGCTGCCCACGCAAAGATCACGACCCCAGTGCATTTCAGCCAGGCCATTTACTTGCCAGTTTTCACGGGAGACGGTTTGCAAACAACATCTGTCAGATATGCTCTTCATTCGGTGATCTTTCACATAGGCAGGTCCAAGTTTTCCGGACATTATCGCACTGCGCTCTGCCTGCACGGTCAGCTCCGTTTTCTTACGGATGATGGAGTTGCAGCGGCACCGGCATCTGCGCATGATTGTCGCTTAGTTGAAGAGAATGCGTACATACTCTTCTTCATCAGGTGTTGACGAAGGCACAGCTGTGCACAAGTAGTTGTAGCTGCTTTGACGCCATCTACTGCCTGTTGTGACATATGGCTACATGTCTAGTTCAATCGTGTACCAGTGGGTTCTTATCGTTTCGTTAAGCTTTTCTACCTCAGGTAGGCATGGGATGGCGGTCACTTTTCTTCAGGACCCTTCGAGGTGCTTTTAAGTTGGTTGGCATCCTTTTCTGCACCAGCTGGCCCGCTGCTCAAAGGGCGGTCACGCCGGGCGGGCAAATATGTCCTAATACTGTTGTCACTAGCTGTCGTACATACATTTTACTTCGTACTAAACCATAGCTTTTGACAGTTGAGTGCAGCGATCCATCCACATCTTGTGTGAGTGATGATGGGCGCCAAAACATGGCGTGCAGCCTGGAGCTGCCGACACAGTCGCCGTTCTAGCATCGCGAGACCTCCTCTTGCGGCGTGGGAAGAAGTATGTATGTATGTATGTATGTATAAATGTATGTATGAAAGTATGTAT